ACTGTCCCAATACCAATATTGTGCTCTACTTATCATTGTATAGGCGTCTCTGGTGCAACTTGCGTCTATTCAAGTTAGTGAAGGGCTCAACTGGTGATCAACGTACTGATATGGTTGTTGTTTAGATGAATGGTATTCCCAATGTGCGTTCTTGTTGGAACTTGGTTCTTTTCATCGATTTCTAAGCTTGTATAGGTGTCCCAAGCGCCAATGCGACATCGACGGCTAAAACGACAGCCAAGACTACTACTACGACAAAGAAGACGACGACCACGACAACCAAGAAGGCCACAACTACTACAAAGCCGACCAGTACAAGCCCTGGGACGAACCCTACTGGGATTACAACCACTCTCCCAGCATCCGCTGGCTATGTCGCCCTTCCGACTGCCTCAGTCATCTCTAGTTCGTTCGATGGCGGCATGAAGCGATACGATCGTGCTGGCTCTTGTCAGTAATCTATTCCACATAAACGAACCTGCGAAAATTACTTATCATCGACCTTAGCGGGAAAATGTCAGGGACAGACGGAAACTGGAGAATCAGAAGCTGTCTTCATTCTGGAGTCTGGTGCGAGCATCTCAAACGTGATCATTGGGAAGGACCAAGCAGAAGGGGTGCGTATATATCCTCACGACTCATCGAGGATCGTCTCTGACCGTTCCCCAGATTCATTGCCGTGGACCATGCACTCTCCGAAATATCTGGTGGGAAGATGTCTGCGAGGATGCTGCTACCTTTAAGCAAACCGGCTCCGGCGATACCTCCTATGTGATTGGTGCGTTGTATCTCCCCTTTCTTTCAGTTGTTTCTCGACTCATATCCGCTCCTTTGAAGGTGGTGGTGCTTTCAGCGCAGAGGACAAGATGTATGTCGAAAGGACCTTTACTTCTCCAAGACACATCGTATCTAATGCTTATTGTTTCTAGTTTCCAACACAACGGAGCTGGAACGGTCTCGATTTCCAACTTTTACGCAAAGACATTCGGCAAGCTATATCGATCCTGTGGCAACTGTTC